AAATGAAAAATGATTTACAGACCTAATTTGCATCAATGAATTAAAACAAAACAAGAAGACTGCAATGAATAATCCCTGATATAAGGATCATTTCTAATCATTTATCAGATTTACCATTGTTTTAATTATTACGAAAAATCAGTAAGATGCAAATTTTACTCATGCAAAAAAAATATTACAGACAATGGATTATCAAGTTATGAATTCCAATAGTGAAGGTGGCGAGGCAGTGGCGCAGTTTCTGTGTGGAGTTTGCATTTTCCCCCTGCCTTTACGTGGGTTTCCTCCGGGTGCTCCGGTTTCCCCCACAGTCCAAAGACATGCGGTACAGGTGAATTGGGTAGACTAAATTGTCCGTAGTGTATGAGTGTGTGTGTGTGTGTGTGTGTGTGTGGATGTTTCCCAAAGATGTGTTGCGGCTGGAAGGGCATCCGCTGCGTAAAAACTTGCTGGATAATAGTGAACTATAATGCTATTGTAAGTGAATGATTAGCACAGGTTATTAAAGCATTAGTTCACTTCTATAAAAGTGAGTTTTCCTCCACTAGAGGTCGCTGTGATGATCAGATTCTCCACAGCTCTGATTCTCTCAGCTCTCGCCGGGTTCAGTGGCGTGCGCCTATAATCCAAGCTACTGGGAGGCTGAGGCTGCGGATCGCTTGAGCTCAGGGCTTCTGGACTGCAGTGGACTATGTCGATCGGGTATCCGCACTAAGTTCGGTATCGATATGGTGCTCCTGGGTGAGCTTGGGACCGCCAGGTTGTTTAAGGAGGAGTGAACCGGCCCAGGTCGAAAACGGAGCAGGTCAAAGCTCCCGTGCCGATCAGTAGTGGGATCGTGCCTGTGAATAGACACTTCAGTTCAGCCTGAGCGACACAGAGAGACGCAGACTTTTACATTAGGTTTTTTTTTTAAACTTTGATTTGTCTTTCTAACTGTAAAACTGAAGAAATAAAGATTTAGAGATGTATGATGACTATATGCATTATTAATAGTAATAATTAAAAGTTTACTAGCAGACTTCAAAAAGTTTATTTGTAAACAAAAATACAAAAATCATCTCAATTTCATGTCTATATTTTAAAAATATGCCTTAGACAGAAATATATTGAATTTAATTGAAAATATATCAAATTAAAATATATATATAGAGAATAATTTTACTTTAAACATAAATGGCACATTATAATTTTTGGCCCCATCAGAAACAAAAGTAACACACGGGTAGGTCACAACCAGATTTACTGGCTTCATCATGTTTGTTTTAATTATATCTGACTATGACATTGTTAATTATTTTTTTAATACCACCTGATATTGACGGTTAAAAAGTTTCCAGTACAAAATGGCATTTTTATTGATAAATTAGTTATAGAGTATTATGCCAAATGCAGTTTTAATCTAGAAAGTTTTGTTTAATAAAATAGAGGAGGGGGATATATTTAAGAAATTAATAACACTTAAAAATAGTAAAGCAACAGGGTTAGATAATATTCCAGTGCAGTTCCCTCAAAGACTCCCTAAATGCGTCACTCCGATGGTTACACATATTATCAATTTTTCTATTTGTCAAGGTAAAGTTGAAAAAAGCAAGAGTTATTCCTCTTTTTAAGAAAGGTAGTAGGTTTGAGGTTAATAATTCTAGGCTGGTATCAATTTTGAGTGCTTTGTCAAAAGGGAGGGAAAAAGTTATTTATTAGCACATTGAAAAATATTGTTTAAAATGTGACGTATTGTAGAGTTTCAATCGGGTTTTAGAAAAATCATTCCACTGATTCAACAGTTTCTTTTATTTAACAAATTATATAAAGAGCGATATGGATAAAGGAAGTTAAGTGGGATGGTTTTCTTAGACCTGCAAAAAGCTTTCAATACAGTCGATCACAGTTTTAAAAGTAAAGGCAATGGGTTTTGGTGTTTTGGCCTGTAAATGCATGAAGTCTTACCTTGAAAACAGATGTCAAATAGTAGATTTAAATGGTGTGTTTTCAGATTATTCGACCGTTTCTTATGGGGTTTCACAAGGCAGTGTTTTAGGTCCTTTGCTTTTTTAATATACATCAATGATTTGAAAATGGCCTGTTCAAAAAAGCTTTTGTTAAATGCGGATGATGCAGCAATAATTGTGTCTCATGAGAGGAAGGAATTTATTGAAAATGAAAAAAGTAAACAAACTGAGGAAGTCTCTTAATGGTTTAACCTTATTAAATTGTCCTTACACTTGTGTAAACCAGAATTTATTTTATATGGTTCAGCTGCGAAACTGAGAAAATGTGTCAGATCAGAGGTAAAAGTAGAGCATCAAATTAATGAACCCAAACATGAAGGGAAATATTTAGGTTGCATTTCAGACAGTAATTTGACAGGTGAGAAGATGGCTGTTATAGTCCAATCAAAAGTTCTAAAATTAAGTTTTTAGCAAGACAGACAGAGCTCTTAGATTTCCAAACTTTACAAATATTGGCTAGTGCATTAGTGCAGTCATACTTTGACTATGCTGCAGCCTTTTGGTACAGCAGTAGTTCCACAAAAATGAAAAATAAATTGCAGACGGCCCAAAATAAGTTGCAGAATTGTTATCAAAGTACTTCCACACACACATTTAAATAATGAATATTATAGTCAAATTAATTTATTAAAAGTTGGAAAAAGGGTCACTTTTCTGAAATTGGTGATGGTGTTTAAGATTTTAAAGAAAATGGTCCCAAAATATTTACTTATTAAGTTTTAGTTAGTGAGGTACACTGTCATTCTACAAGAGCGAGTAGCAGGGGTATTTGTCCTTGTAGAATTAAGAGTGAAACAGGTAGAAAGTCTTTTCTGTGTACTGTTGCTTGGAATATACTGCCGAGGAGTTTTAAAGAGATTCAATTTGAGAGTTTTTAGAGAGGAAATTAAAAAATGGCTGTTTTACGGTTGAAGTTGAGGATTTTTGTTGTGCTGAGTTTCTGAGCTGATGATGTTTGCACTTTATGATTTGCTCGTTCATTTTTTAAGAATATCGATGACCACGATGGAAATCAGCCTGTGGCTTTATTGTGTATTTTATCCTCGACAGTTTTTAAGATATGAATGTCAAACTGGACTTGTTTGTATATTTTTGTTAAAATTGTCAAATAAAATCAATCAATCAATTTATTCATTCATTTTCCTTTAGCTTAGTCCCTTTATTAATCTGGGGTCGCCACAGCGGAATGAACTGCCAACTTATCCAGCATATTTTTTACACAGCGGATACCCTTCCAGCTGCAACCCAGTACTGGGAAATATCCATACACCCTCATTCACACACACACACACACACACACACACACACACACACACACACACACACACACACACACACACACACACACACTATGGCTAATTTAGTTTATTCATTCACCTACAGCATAGCACATGGGTTTGGAGCACCCAGAGGATGAACACGGAGAGAACAAGCAAACTGCACACAGAAATGCCATCTGACCCAGTCGCGACTCCCACCAGCAGCCTTTCTACAGTGAGGCCATGTGTATATATATATATATATATATATAAAGATACATTATTTTTTCCCTTAATAGCTACATTTTAAAGAAATCTATTTGCTTAAGTCAGCTGAACATTAAACAACAACAGCAATAGAAACCACCAAAGGACACCATATGAACACAGCCAAAATGAATTATTAGAGCATGCACATCTTTGTCATTCCAATGGATTTTTAAAAATATGTACATGCCGCCTTTTCTTCCATGTTTCTTGAACTTTTCCCCTTAATGAGGAAAACTATTGAATACTATAAAAGCTGTTCAGCGTTTTATTTTTTTCAGATTAACATTTAATAGACTTTAACTAAAAGTTTTAGATTCTGATCAGGACAGCACACTGGTTCTCCCGCAGCATGTTTGTTCATCATTTCTATCTTAATGTGTTGATCATTTTCTTTTGTGTTTCTGTATTGTGTGAAGGTCAACCAGTCCACAGTTTATGCTGCTATAATCTTTATTCAGTTTTATTCATAAACTATGTACAATATATACACTGTGCTCACGTCGGCTCCAGGTCTCTTGGGTGAAGGTCTCTCAGTGACGTGGTCTCTTCTGGTCGCCGTGCGTCTCTGGTGAAGATGGGGAACGGGAACGTTTCCCTCTGGCGTCCTGGACTGAAGATGCTGCACCAGCTGAGGAAGAGGAGGACAGCGGCTTGGTCTGGCAGGAGAAGGACAGCCTCTTTTTCTTCTCAGCAGCATAAGCCTCACTGAACAGATCGAGCGCAAACACACACAAGCAGACATAATGTGAGATTTTCACAAACAATAGAACATGCTGCAATGCCGAGTACAGTTTACTCACGCGTCTATGATGGGAATGACGTATTTGCCGCTGCCGTCCATCATGACTCCCTTTCGGTTTGGGTCGTCCACCTCCAACAGGAAGCTGCGGGGAATCCCTGTGCTCCTCCGGATGCGCTTAAGCGGAGCAGAGCTGCTGCCCTGTGAATTCATGAGTGACAGTCAAACGACAGAGCAAACAATCTGACTGATGGAGACAAGAGCTCAAGTTCACAGCAACCATAAGCTTAGAAAACCCAGTTACCCCTTTAGAGGGGCAGTGCCTAATGTGGTGTCCTGGGATCCCACAGTGAAAGCAGACATAGTTGTGTGGAAGAAGCCCAAGCAGTGTCATGGCCTCACTGATGAACATCAGAACCATGAGAATCAGCTCTAACATTTCTCACAAACCAAACCTGTCAGTGTCTGAACGCTCACCTGCTGGAGTAGTAGCACAGACTGGACTGGTACATCACCGCTTTTAGCTTGTCCTCCTCTGATGCCTTTGCCTCAGCCAGATTCTCAGTCTGTTTCACAGGCATTTGCACATTAGAATTTTATTTCACTGATTTGCTCTAAATAAACACCCTCAAATCTCCCTAAGAAGCTGTGTGTGTGTGTGTGTGTGTGTGTGTGTGTGTGTGTGTGTGTGTGTTTGTGTGTATTGTTGTTTGCTAAACACTGTGTATTGATATTCTGCACTACATGTCATTATGACGCCTCAAATGCAAACACTGCAGTTCAATACAGAGCAGCACAGTGGGGTGAATTAATCATTTGTTCAATACCTCCAACAGCTGCTCCAGTGAGAGGAGTGAAGAATCACCTGTTTGAGAAGATTTGGCTGATAATCCAGCTTGATGTCTGCAAAACAAAACAAAGGAGCTTGTGTGACCAAAACACCACAGACAGACTCAAACTCTTGATATAACATCTATCAGAGGATGGTTGAGCTCATTTCACATGACTTACCCAACAAATCTTCTGTTGGAGGACTTCAGTCCAGCCGCAGGGACCCGTCTGATGATGACCGATGTGTTTTTAGGGATGAGAGCATCATCATCTGTGTATTCTGACAGCAAAATAAAGTTTGAATATAGTAATAATCATTTACCATGGTATACTTTGAGTGCCATTAGCATTTTAAAACACTCAAAACATCACTATGTGTCACCATCAGAGTCATGATAACACATGTCAGCTTCTACAAGTCTGTCTGATAACACATCTAATGTTAGTGTAGTATAGTTTAAGTGGCTTTTCCTCATCTCACCTTCATCAGTTTGGGCTTTGCTGATCTTCAGCTGGCAGAACTTCAGCCTCTCGCGCCTCATGATCTGTCGCTTCAGCTCTCCCACAGTGATGTTGAGGCCCTCAAACTGGAGCGAGTCGTAGGTGAGTCGACTCTGAAACCTGTAATGAACACAAGACATACTGAACACAAACCACAGTGTGATAACAAGGGTCAAACCTGAATGATGGGAGAAGCAGACGATCAATCGATGTATCCAACAATCAATAATATCAATAATCTGGGAATCAGTTGCCACGAAGGACGCCGAGATCAGATGCCAATGACAGAGCGGAGTTCAAAACAACACAAAAAGAACCGTTGCCATGGATGCTGACGATCACGTGACGAGGCGCTGAAAAACTTCCGCGTTATTTTCTCATAAATAATAGTGAAATCATTACTATGATAATAATTAAATAAACAGCAGAACAGTTGGCCATCTCTGAATAAAACACAGCTGCGTTTCCTTACACGAATGATTCTGGCCTTTGTAAAGAGTCGGGCGAGTCAATGAATCAGTGATTCGTGGCTGAATGAATCACTCAAAGCTTCACTCGATTAAAGCGGTCTCTTGCTGCCACCTATTGGCGATTTGTTTTTTCGTTTTTAAAGTAATTTAACACTTTTTTTAAAGCCACCTTCAAATTTATTTTCTACAAAAGTTTATTTCCGTGTGTTAAAAATTATTTAAAACTCTCTAATCTCATCATTTCCTGATGCGTTTATAATGTAAATCCCTTCATGTTTGCCTTTGATCTTCATTACGTGTTAAAATCAATAAAATATTAAAGTTGCCTCATCCAAATCCAAAGTTTAGTTCAAAGCTTTATTATACAGCAATGTGTGTGTGTGTGTGTGTATGTGTGTGTGTGTGTGTGTGTGTGTGTGTGTGTGTGTGTGTGTGTGTGTGTGTGTGTGTGATTGTGGCAGTGGATTACAGTGAATGTAGAAGTGATCAGAAGTGTGTGATATTTATTGTTTCTGATAATCAAAAGAACATTTTAAGAGTCCAAAAGATTTACTGCCTGATGAAGCCTGTTATAATGCAATTATGATGACCCTATAAATCTAGAATGGTCAGAACAATAAAAAATTAGGGAAAGAGATTAATTAGTATTTCTCCTCTTTTATTTTGTATGTGTAAGTGCTCCTGGAAGGAAAAAGTCTGCGTCTCTCTGTGTCGCTCAGGCTGCACTGCAGTGTCTATTCTCAGGTGTGATCCCACTACTGATCAGCACGGGGGATTTGACCTGCTCCGTCGCCGACCTGGGCCGGTTCACCCCTCATTACACATCCTGGTGGTCCCAAGCTCCCCCAGGAGCACCATATCGATACCGAAGTTAGTGTGGACACCTAATCAACATAGTCCACTGCAGTCCAGAAGCCCTAAGCTCAAGCGATCCGCAGCCTCAGCCTCCCAGTAGCTTGGATTACAGGCGCGCGCCACTGAACCCGGCAAGAGCTGAGAGAATCAGAGCTGTGGAGAATCTGATCATCACAGCGACCTCAAGTGGAGGAAATGATGAATGATGAAGTAATGTTGACTTTTTATTGGTCTTATGGCACTGTTTGGATAAAAATAAACAGCAGTACGGTCCCAAATAAAATATAGTTATTTAAACTAAATACTATAGTATTTTAGAACCACATAGTAAAGTTTATTGTACTGAATAGTATAATCACAATGTTGTGCTATTTAAAGGCAACTGTGGTGCAGAGTCGGGTTGGAAGAAACTTCAAGCATTTCTGTTTTCGTGAGGTTAAGCTGAAGATGATGATCTTTCATCCAGTGTGAAATGTCCGACAGGCAGGCTGAGATGCGAGCTGGAACCGAGGGATCATCAGGGTGAAAAGAGAGGTAGTTGGGTATCATCAGCATAGCAGTGGTAGGAGAATCCATGTTTCTGAATGACTGGTCCTAGAGATGTCTTGTAGATGGAGAAGAGAAGTGGCTCAAGAACAGAGCCTTGAGGTACCCCAGTGTTTAGATGCTGTAGGTTGGACACTTTTCCCCTCCAAGACACCCTGAATGACCTGTCAGAGAGGTAAGATCTGAACCATTGAATAACAGTGCCTGCAACCCCCAGTGACTCATTTATATTATATATATAATGATTAATACATATAGAAACAATATTTTCATAACTAAATTATTTATGATTTGCCATTTAACAGCAAAACATCTCGTCAAATAGGCCACAGTTCATCAGGAAATGAAAAGCTTTTAAATGACAACAGAAAAGCAGTTCAGCGACTAACATTCACTCATTCAGTGAGTATCTCATTCATTCATTCATTCATTCACTAATTGAATCAACACTTTTTCAATCACTTAATATGGTGTCAGATGCAGATGTGGCCTCTAGTGTAATCCACAGTTCATATATTGCACAATGACGCTAAAGGCCACCATATTATAAAATACTGCAGGTTGTTGGTTGCAGATTAATAATCACAAACATAATTTTTTATTCATAAAACAGCTAAAAACATATTTAGTGTCAGAGAGGACAAAGTGGTTTCAGTTTACCTTTTATCTTTAATATTAAACAGCTTTTTAGTCTTTAGATCAGATTAAATAACTTGTGGTACTTGTATAAACAATGTTCAGCTCAGGATCAGTAATTCAGCATGATGTGCTGCTAAAGCTGAAACAGTCTATCAATTTATGCCACAGATTGTGTGAGATTCTGTCGAGTCTTATAGATGTTAAAAACACTGATGGAGGTCAAAACCGCATCTGACACCACAGTTAGTAGATGAGTAAGAGTAAACTGAATAATAAATATGTAACTCAGTTAATGATATTATTCACTGCATGAATGAATGTTAGATGAGGAACTGGTATTTAAGTGGAAAATTAAAACATTAAAGCTTTACTTTTTCAGAGGTTCACTGTTTGCACAATCTTAAATGGATAGTTCACCGCATGAATATGATTGTGACGATTATGAATTAACATTTTTGGGTCAATTATCCCTTAGGTCACATAAATTATCCCAGAGCATTATTTCAGCATCAATGATCATTCACAATAGTCACATCACAAGAAATACAAGGTTGAGTCTGGATTATAATTTAGCATTTGCGTGTGTTTCTGAGGCCTGCGACTGTAAAAGCTTTAGGTCTAATAAATTGCATCATTTGTCATTTTAATTGCAAATCATTTTATTTAATTAAAAAATGAAGACAATAGCAGTATTATTTTACATTTGATTATTACATTACTGTACCTGAATACTGTTAGACTCGTTGAAAAACAACAAAGCTCTGTTTATTTTATTTCAGAATTTTATATTGTATTTATCTCTGCTCGTAGATTGTTTGTAATGTTTTATGCAGATGCACACCTAATATAAACAAATAACCCATTCTGTAATATGTTTTTTACAGCTATATGTATTATGATACAATAAACCACTTTTACTGTAGTAAAAAAAACTAAAGTATACTACAATATTTAATACATTTTATTAGTTGATACAGAAAACAGAATGTTGTGGCACTCATAAAAAGAGTAAAGGCTAATAAATATGGTATAATAATCTTTAGTTCAAAAATACTATGTTGATACTAATTACTGTAATTTTTTTATTTGTGATCATACTGCTGTTTATTATTATCTAATGTCATAAGGCTATGAAGTCATTTTTTATTCATCATTCAGTTTTCCTCCACTAGAGGTCGCTGTGAGGATCAGTTTCTCCACAGCTCTGATTCTCTCAGCTCTCGCCGGGTTCAGTGGCGCGCGCCTGTAATCCAAGCAACAGGGAGGCTGAGGCTGCGGATCGCTTGAGCTCAGGGCTTCTGGACTGCAGTGGACTATGTTGATCGGGTGTCTGCGCTAAGTTCGGTATCGATATGGTTCTCCTGGGGGAGCTCGGGACCACCAGGTCGTTTAAGGAGGGGTGAACCGGCCCAGGTCGGAGACGGAGCAGGTCAAATCCCCCGTGCTGATCAGTAGTGGGATCGCGCCTGTGAATAGACACTGCAGTGCAGCCTGAGCGACACAGAGAGACGCAGACTTTTACACTAGTTGTTTTTACTCTGATATATCTTTCTAACAGTAAAGAAAGAAGCAATAAAGGTTTTGAGATGAATGACATGGCTGTGTGTTAATAATTAGAAATAACTAAAAGTTTAGTTTTTTCGAGTGATGGGTTGCAGCTGGAAGGGCATCTGCTAAAAACGTGCTGGATAAGTTGGGGGTTCATTCCGCTGTGGTGAACCAACGGGACTAAGCTGAAAAGAAAATGAATAAAAGTTTATTTGTAATTAGACATTTTATTTGTAAACAGAAATACACAAATTATCTCAATTTCATGAGTGTATTTTGAAAAGAGGATGTTTTAGACAGAAATATGTTTTGCTGTGGTTACTAACTCATAAGTGTGGTCTATCAATATCGGGTGGTATTTAAAAAAATTATAGAAGAATTTCACTTTAGTTCTCCCCGTGTTGGTGTGGGTTTTCACTGGTTGGTCTGGTTTACCCCACAAGTCCAAAGACATGCAGTATAGGTGAATTGGGTAAGCTAAATTGTCTATAGTGTATGGGTGTTTTCCAGTAATGGGTTGCAACATGGGAGGGCATCCTCTGCGTAAAACTTATGCTGGATAAGTTGGCGGTTCATTCCGCTGTGGTGACACCCGATTAATAAAGGGACTAAGCCGAAATGAAAATAAATGATTGAATGAATTTCACTTTAAACATAATTTACACATTGTTACTGTGAACCCATCATCTGATATTTGGCAGCTCCATCAAGGGTTCTGCATTGTGTTTTCTTTTTATTGTGGGAATAACCAGACAGGTATCAGCAGTTGTGACGGCTCTTTAATCACTCCTGATGTAAACAAAAGCACAGATTTTACAGTGTGTCTTCGCCCTCATCACTTTTACATGCTTCAATCAGACAAATATAAATCCAAACCTCAATTAAAATGAAAACACAAAAATAACGAACTATGTGAAATATGTGAAAAAGAAAGTTATACACAATATTGAAACATAAAAACTGGCTTCAAAAGTCAAGTAAATATGATTTAAGATTAATTAGAGCTGCAGACACCCACCTCTCCCATGTGCAGTCAGTACAGAAAAGGAGGAGGCGGGTGCAGAACAGGAAATTAGAAAACTTAAGCTTTCTTAGAAATTTAAAGGAGCAGGTATACTTAATAAACACTTCAGGTAAAACACACATTTTGTGTAATTCTATAAATAAAGTGAACTATTATTTCTATATCTGTTACACAGGCCTGGATTGGCCAGTGGCGTAGCGCAAAATGCGGAGGCCCCCCTGCAGGGATCACTGACGGGTCCCCCAGTTGAAGACGGGGGGGGGGGGGGGGGGGGGGG